GCTGGAGTGAGGTGAGGCAGGGGCATGGCTGCCTGGCATTAAGAGCAAGAACCAAGGCTGTGAGCTGAGGAGCCATCTTCCTGAAATCCTCCCTGCTGCTGCTCCTGGTTTCCCGAGACACTCAGGGATTGCTGAAGCCACACCGCTTACTCTTGCTTGGCTTTTTCTCGTAGTTTTGGAGATGTGGGGCCAATGAGTCCTGGTGACCAAGTGGCTTCCTGAATCATTGAGTCCAGCCCTTGAGCGAGGGCTGGGCTTTCCCTAGAGGCCAGGGAGTTCCTAACCCCTTCCCTTTACTCTGGGGAAGCCCAGCATGTACAGGGTCAAAGCTCACCCTTTGACAACCAGAGGACTTCAGCCAGCCAGGGCTGGACGGCCTCCAGAGCACTCTGTTGTTGAAGAACTGCCCCCCTTCCCAGGGCCTTCCTGAGGGAGGAGGGGTTCACAAGACTCGGGGAGCTCAGAAAGTTACAGGAGTCACCCCCCCCCCCCCCCGTAAATTACTACATGGCAGTGAATGCTTGCCCAAGGGAGGAGACTCTTCAGTGGAGATGCCTTCCAGTTGTGCAGACAGCCACCCTGGTGCATCTCCTGAAGGTTGCCCCCCATGCTGGGCTGAGTTTCTCATTGTGCAGCCGCCCTTGAGTCGCCCGTGATCCTTGAAGTAACCTGATCAGCTCACTGGTCATTGGTGCCCCAAGCTGGACTTCCGGGAGTCAGTTTTGAGGTCCATAGTCCATGCCCAATTTGAAGTGAACAGACATTTGTTCACACCCCTTCAGGAATAGTCACAAGCTCCGCCCCCCTTCTCTCCATTCCTTCCACACATACAGACTGAGTGTCCTGTACCTGCTGTAACCGGTCAGCCTTTGGCTGTGTTTCAAAGAGATCTTGCTGGACTGTAGAATCCTCACACACACCCCACCTCCTGGCCCAGCATTCCCTGTGTGGGTACGGCTCCTCTGTGAGTGAGGGCTAGACATGAGGCATGATTTATAACCCCTTTCAGGGAATTATTGTTACTAACAGGCAGAGCCAATTTGTGCTTCCCCAGGGGGGAGGGCAAAATCAATTAATGATAACTGTAATATGGCCTGGCAGGCCCGATGGCAGAGTGAGGCCTAATATCCGGGGTGATAAAGGGTTGTCTGAAGCTGAACTAACCGGAGGAAAACAAAAAGATCAACCTGTGTACAATGGACAGAGAATCCAGAGTAACTGGGCTCCGGCCTCCTTCCTT